CAAATAATTATTTTTAATTCATTTTCAATTATACATTATTATTCAATATTTATCTAAACACTACAAAAATTTCAGTCAATTGACAGCAAATTAGAAGTTATTTCCCTAAAAACTACTAAACTTTTGTACATAACTTGGAGTTGAGTTAGCATTTGAAATACTATTCTTGAACACAATAATTATTTATTTAACTTTCACTAACTCATGAATATTAAGCAATGGGTAAATAAGTTGTTACATATTCTCTTAATAACTGCTAAAAACATATGTTTCTTATATAATTATATAATAAAAGTTAATTAACTCCTAAAACTTTATAAACAAATGAATGCTTTTCGTTATGTAATCTAATTAATAGACACCAATTCAAAGTGCACTTTAATTCACAAAAAGTGCTCTTTTGTTATTTGCTAAGTTTTATTTTATTAACATTTAGTTATATTGTTTTTTGGCCAACATTTATGTTAACATTTAACTTAATTTAGTCTTTTGTTAACAACTATTATAGTTAGTAGTGATTCACAACATTATTCGCTTATTATTAGTAAGTCTAGTAAAGTTAATAAACTCTTAAATCCTTTGAAACAATTTGTTCTCTCTATTCATCTTAAAACTCGTGTGTTTTGTGGTGTAAAAGTGTGTTTGTGTTTAATAACATTGAATACAAAATCGATTTATTCATACTATTAATAGTGAGAGACATTTGGTAGAGAAAGACAATGAAATTACTGGCAATTCGTTCATTAATTATTCAAATTTCGATTAACCATTAAGTCTGTTGTGATTCACGACTGTATTGTTCACTACTTTTATACTGTATTTTACGATTTGTACTAAATTTTCGGTTTAAATTCGCTGCGATTTCTGATAAATAAATCAAAATCTCAGACAAACCATAGGAATTAGATTTGAAACGATTATATCATTCGATAATTTATTGGTCTTTCGATGTCTCAGAGGAATAAGAATTGAATTGTTTTTTATATATAAAAACAAAAACAATTAAAAACAAAACAAAAAGAGGAAGAAAAATGTGATTAAATAATCAAAAACTGAATTCAAGTCTGAGTTTAGAAAATAAAAAATCCAATTAACGTGACATTCATTACGGGAGAGACCATCGAAGCACAGGTGTCTTCAAGCGGTTCTCAGTATGATATGAACGCCGGAATCGGTTTCGACGGCTTCGGACATCTGCCCGACTTTGAGGCCGAACGCCGAGTCCTCGAAGGGCTTCTGCATCGCGCCTCTCGTGAAGTAACCCAAATCCCCGCCCTTTTTGGCGGACGAGCAGTCGGACACCTCCTGAGCCAACTCCTCGATCGTGGTCTGTCCCGACTCTATCTGATTCCTGTACTCATTCACGAGTTCGATGGCCTCCTCTTTGCTTCGCGTCACCCTCTCCTCCCTCCACGACGACGGCCGCCGACTGTCGCAGTGCTTCACCAGTAGGTGAGAGCAGCGGATCTTCTCGTTGTCTTTGGTGTTGGCTTCAGTGGTCGGACGATCCCATTGGCTCTCTTTGGTGTAGACGTTCAGGTAGTAGACCTGTCCGGTCGACCGACTGATCCTCTTCTCCCATCCCTTCGGCAGCTCTTCGCCAGCGCTCTCTTCTTCGTTGTCCATCACTCCAGTGATATGGATATCAATTGGTCGCAGATTGCGGTCACAATTGGCGGCAATTTATGTGATAATCAAATCGATTACAGTATTAAGCGATCAATGGTTGAGTGAATCAATCGACGGCTCAATCGGTGGTCTGTTTTGGCGATCAATGCAATGGAGGGCTGATCCCAAGACTGGTGGACGCACTGGAAGACAATGTTGGGCACAAATGCGTGAAGTGATGGTGTCTTAGGAGTGGATTAGTGGCCAAAATGGGTACAAATGGTGTAATCGGTGGTCTCGTGAGAGCTGAGACAATGTCTCGGTTTGTGTCACAAAACACTTCAGCGAAGAGTTGAGAGAAGACTCAGAGTAGCGGCTAATGTGTCGACCAATTGCTGTCTCACAAACGACAATAATGCTAACCATTAGTCGCCCTTTCGGTACCTTTCGATACGACACTGGCGTTAATAATTCATATGAGTTTATGTGTACATAAGGTATGTATGATTAGGTGTCAAATGCTGTATAAATATTGACTACATTTACAGTGAAATAGAGTGAGAGTTGACTCAATATCTCAAGCGATGTCTCTCTCTCTCTGACCAGTCATTGAAGCGATCGATAATATAATTAGAGTTTACAAACGCATTAACACAACACTCTATTACGCATGAGTTATGCCATTATTGCAGTTCATATGTATTACACAATGCATTGAAAGATCGCACAAATTGTTTACATTTTAAATTAGCATTCATTTCGTACGGCGTGACCACATGCTCACGAAATCCTAGCATTCATCCATACATACCCTGGTCATATTGCAATGCAAGTTTGCTCAGGGTAATACGATGAATACATGATAGAAATGCATAAATAACTGAATCGTGTGCTCCGGAGTGTGGTATTAGATGTGCTGGATGTTTGTGAGTGATTTGTGAGTGAGGCATAGTGTGAACAGTTGGTCACCCTATTCAGGGTTGCAGTGAGTAATGTAACGTCACATGAAATGCTATGAAAAATCATATTTTGTTTACTTTTTGCTAAACAATCAAAACCTTTAAGCAAATCGCGGCACCAATTGAATGAAAATCTATTTTTACATCTCTTTTATCGATTTGTTTGCGACATCTCTTTGAGCGCCGATCCCAACCATCCCTTAAGACATCGCCTCACAGATGGAAATACACGCCGAGTGTTGACCACAAACAGACATTTTATGATCACTTGTTTGGACTCAATTGGCGTTTCGTTTGTTTGACATTTTAGTCGCCAATCAATTGAATCGCGTCTTCAGCGCTCAATTGAAGCCACAAATCGTCGCAATCGGCGAAGACATCCGCGAAGACAATCACCGGAAGACATCGTAAGCGCCGCCGAAGAGCGAAGACATGTCAGAAACGGTGCGATTCGTGGCGTCGGCCGGCAATCGAGGGAACGGCGACCCGAATGAGGCGCCGGCGGCCGAAGAGATGCACGAATTCATAACATTTCAGCGCCAACTGTCCCGTCCGACGGACCACTACCGGCCCAACCGGTTGGTGCCCGGAGAGGGCAACCCATACGCGCCGCCCCCGAAGGCCAGCCACACATCGCACACCTATTTGTCGAAATTCCTGAGAGACCCGATCGCCACTTCCCTCAACTCCTTCAGCAAAGTCACGAATTACGTGACGAGTCCTACGTTTTACGACGAGGAGTACCTGTCGTCCCTCCCGGCCCTACACCTCCTGCGACCGCCCGGGTATGCCGAGCGCGTGAACCGATCCTCGAGGTCACCCACGCCCGGCGACAACGAGCACCCGGTCATCGACCCCATGACCACATCCAATAACTTCAATGTCGTCAATACCGTTCCACTGCCGCCGCCAGCGTTGCCGCCCATTCCCTGCACTCAACCCCAGTGTCGTCTTCCGGCGCTTACTCTACAAGAGTTTGAGGACACGTCAGCGGAACTGTCCATCGATGACATCATTGAACGCATCTTCAGAGGCGTTAGTCTTTATAGTAACCCATAGTTAGCAATGAATTGACATTTATTTTGATTAAAGGGTTTGAATGACAATGACTTTCGACACCGTTTGTGGCCATTAGTGTTGGGACTGACCGAAGAAGTGACTGAATTTGATTGGTCCGCGTTATCCGATTTATACGACAAATACCACTCGCAATGGAACTCTATATTACCGGATCAGGAGATGAGGTTTACCGCATATCGCGAAAGGAAGTCATTGATTGGTATGCAATACAAGAGATTTGTTTAAAGCAATCACTTAATCACTTGTTGTCCACAGAACGGGATGTGATTCGATGCGATCGTTCGCATGCTTTCTATAAGGGAACGTCAGATAATCTGGAAAAGTTGAGGGCTTTGCTCCTCACATACACTATGTATGACTTCGACACCGGCTATGTTCAGGGTATTCACTATTGTTTGCATTTTATGGCAGATTTTGATTTTTTAATTTAATTATTTAAATCTCAAATCCAGTGATGACTGGAAAGGCGTTTTGCGTTTCAAAATCAGGGCCTTTAAGAATATATAATTAATTAATGCAAAACTGTTTTGAATTAATTTGTTATAATTTAATTAATTCTAGTCTTGAATAACATTCCAATAGTGTTCAGCCCTTCCTTTGGGTCATCACTCACTCAATAGTCGATTCTTTTATCTTTATTTTTTTCATTTTCACAAACTTTTAATGATTTGTAATAAAAAGTGATTTTAATTACCCTTTAAATTCAGGAATTGTAACTCTTTGTGTGTTTTTGAAATATAATTTTTTACATAAATTTGATATTCTTTTGAAAGGTATGTCAGACTTGGCGTCGCCTTTGCTGTACGTAATGGACGGCAACGTTATGAAAGCTTTTTGGTGTTTTGTTCGAGTCATGAAATTAATTGTAAGCAAAATATATATTCAAATCATTTTCTTTCGTTTTTTGAGATTTTCTTGTTTTTTGTTCACTTTTTTAAATGTAAATTAATTTGAATAAAAAGCTCTGATTTTTGATAATACATTAATGGATTGCTATGTTCTGTGTGAATAATAGGGAACTAATTTCGAAATGTCTCAGTCGTCCATCAAATTTCAATTAGAAATGTTATGGAAATTAATCGAATTGACTGATCCATGTTTTGCTCAATATTTAGGTATGTCTTGAACGGTAAACCCATTCATCAAACTTTTTTATATCAAAATCCTTTTGTCTAAAACAACATCTTATATAATATGAAACGAGTATTTTTGTTATGAACTCTACTTTTTCTTATTTTCCATTTGTCTACAAATTTATGTTGTAATTGTTTGCAAATTTTTTCATTTTTAATGTATTTTTCATTATAACAATTTGTTTTATTTATCTCTGACATTGAATTACCGATACTTTTAGTGCTGTATAGTATTCCGAGTATACGCCTAAATATCATTGAAGTCTATTGTCTACTCTATTATACGGTTTATTTGTTTGCAAATTATGTGTTAATATATAACTGTTATTTTAAAATTTACTTCTATATAAGTCTAAATCAGTTTTACGATTACTATAATTATTATGCAATTTCTGATAACTAATCGTTTATTCGGAGAATAAATAATTGATTTTGATTTTTACCATTCATTTAACGATCAGTTTTGAGCAGAAAGTAATGAGAGTTTGCACTGAAATCCAGTTTTATGGTAGACTTTGAATATAAAATGTTTTGAACACAAGAATTGCTTTTACGATATTTGGGTTAAAATTTAAATTTAAGGCGTTTTTGACTACAGTTTTATTTCGTTAGTAATGCCAAGGGTTTAGACCTTTAGTTGTCTTGTCCTGAAGAGGACATCACTTAGATCTCAAAGTCATATCATAATAGTATTATGCATACAGTAATGTAATAAACTCTAAATTCATTATATTTTATATAAATATTTTTACAAAATTAAAATCAAAAAGTATTTGATTGCAACTCAAATCATTGCCTTTTCGCCATCATTTCAATGATGATTATCTACACTATAATTGAAGCGAACCTTATGTTTAGCCTTAATATTGCATCAAATAAGAGCACAAATTCTTTATATATTATATAATTTAATGTTATATTCGGTATTCATATTATTTATATTAGTTATTAGTCTTTAACTGTTTTTATAGTTTTTGGATTATTAGAATAACATGAAAATTGAATTCAATGGAAATTATTATAATTTATATGATTATATGATATTTTTGTTTGTTTTGTCTCTCTCTCTCTCTCTCTCTCTCTCTCTCTCTCTCTCTCTCTCCACATCTCATATCATCTTTTTCTTTGAGACATATTTCCAAAAACTCGTAATAAATTTATTATTAACTCGTTTTTTATTTTAATAATCGTTAATGAATTTCTTATATGTATTCGTGTTTTTATTATTCCTATTTTTGTTTTTCATTTCTATAAAACAAAAACATTTCTTTTGTTTTTTAATAATAACTACTTATTAGGAGTTTTTAATGGAAAATTATATTTTAAACTAAATTCTTTAAAACTATTTATTACTCGTTTATAGTTTAGTGCATTGTTTTCAGTCGATTGACTTAAAAATGAATTTATTTTTATGTTGTAATCGAAAGCCAATAAAGAGTCAACGAATTGCTATTTCGCCTTTCGATGGATTGTATGTCAATTCAAGCGAGAGTTCATGAAAAGCGAATCCGACGAATACAACGACTGTCTCATCCTCTGGGAGAGTATCTGGACGTCACATATAGTCAGGAAATTTGGCCACAAATCGGACGACACCACTTCAACCGCGAGCCAACTGCTCACGTGTGACACAAACACTACTGAACCACAGACTAAGACTATGATTGGCGGTCACGAAAAGATCAATAAGAGTCTGAGCACAGGAGCCCTTAATTCAAACACTATAGACGTACCGGACGTGAAGTTCCGTAACGGACCGCACATGCGATCAAACAGTTTCCGAACCAAATCGGAAAGACGTGAACCGCCGAAGACGCCGACTAAGAAGGAGTCGTTGAGTTCTGTTCCCAAAACGCCTGAAAAGCATTTGACGGACGCCGAGCTCTACTCGCTTTCGATATGCCTCTCAATCATCAGACGGGAAAGGGATCTAATTATGGCCCAACAATTGGACGCCACAGAAATTCTGAAGGTATTGTTCCCTCGAATCACGCGTTGACTCACTTTTAGTTCCGTTTCTCGTAATTGAATAATAATTTTCAATACATTTTGTTTCGTTGAACTGCTTTTGCTTATTGTGTTTAGCGCTCGAGAGCTCCCTTTCGCTCGCGTTTTATATCGCGATTTTGATTTGATTTCATTTTTTTCGTTGCATTAATTGTTTTCTTATTTTCCATTTCATTATCTCTTTATTTCGATTTTCAAATCGTGTTTTACTTCTCATTATTTATTTGTTATTTTAATTTTTGCTTATTTTTATTCAATTCATACATTCATTCATCGATTCAATCTTTTGTTGCATTAATTGATTTTCTTATTTCTCTTTTTTCTCTCATAATATTATTCCCGTATTTTAATCTCATTTAATGTTTTCAATCATTTTCTCTCCTAATTCTCGCAAATGAATTAAATTTCCCAATAATTGATTGTAATTGAAATTGTAGTCAAAATTGATTGTTAGGCATGACTTGTATTGTGTTATGTATTTCCTAAAACCCTTACCACATATAGACAAAATTGACCCTAAAATACAATTTATAGCTTATAAGTGCAAAAACTCCGCAATTATATTTGCATTTGTTTTGCGATAATTGTTTGGAAAAACTTTCGCTTTTATCCCACTTATTATCATTAAAGTGTAGAAAAAAGTTTTGTTTTAATAAGTCTTACGCGAGAGAAAAAAGCAAAACACCGCAAAAAATTACATTTTTAATGAATCCAAGGCTATGGGCTGCCAGTGGTTTGCATTTCAAAACAGTTTTATCTCAACACAAAAAACTTTTTATAATCCCAAACCATGACTTCGTGTGCCCTGTCATTAGCCTCTGTTGAATAATACTGTGTTTTTAATTATAAATGCTATTCTTGTGCTATAATCGAAAATATGACTAAATTTTTTGCTTACATTTTTGCGGGTTTTGTTTGATTGTATTTATTGTCTCTCTGTCTGGTATAGCACTTCAATACACTTCAGCTGAAGAGTGATTTGGAAAACATATTACTCCACGCGTCACACATCTGGTATTGGCTGACCCACGACTCCGGCGAATCACTGCTCTATAAGTCGGAACAGCCCGCCAACGAACCCACCGAAGACTTCGACCTCCTCTGCGACTCTATGCCCGATGAGGACTACTATATCATCAACGCGTCGAATATCTAATGCCTAATCAATTCAGATAATTATTCACTTAATTATCGCTTTAATTGAATTTGTTATTAAATTATTGGATTTTAATGTTTAACATTTAATTATGGAAAAAGTATTGTTTCATTTTGTGATTATATTTATTTGATTTTTTAAACAAAAAACCATACACTTAAACTGTTTGCCAAATATTTTTGGGAATTATACGTTTATTAAATATACACTTAGGGTTTATATGATATGATAGTGTATTTAGTAATTTAGTGATTAGTCTAGAAAGGCATCCAATTATTGTTTTATTGTTTAAAATATATATTACATAATATTTAAAATGTTTTTATTTCTGATCTCATACTCCCTTTTGATGTGAAAACTCTTTTGACAAATATGGGACACATTTATGAATATATTTTCATTTATTATGCTTTGTTTTGTGTGAATATGTATTTCTCCCAAATTGTTAGCGGATTAGGAATAAGAGAATAATATTTGCATTAAATTATCTTTTATTATGTTTTTTAATATAAATCGAAACCAAAATAATAATCGGGAAATGATTTCACATGAGTTATGGCTTATTATAAGTCATATCTGAGGAAAATAAGGCATAATTTTATGAGAAAAAACTGAATGAATTATATCTTGAGGTTTATTATAATTGACTATTTTTTGTGCTAAAATACCATTCATTCAAATCGACTGATCAGATGATCTCAACGATCGGATCAATTCGTGTAAAGATACTCCGATTGCAGTGCAGTTCGTGTCCAACTGTGGGTGGAGTTGTGTTTTGTGCGCCCATTAGCTGTTCCTGTGTTTTACACTCAATGGTTGCACAAAAACCTATTACAATATACACTAAACTATATTATATACACTTCTTGTGTTTTTTATATCCCATACACCTCTCTCTTGGCAACTCTAATGCCTTTACATATTATTTGTTAGATATTTATTCTCTTCTGACAGATATCTCTCACATGAATATACTGTTAGAGACGCGAGAGATATACAGTAGAGACAAACCGAGAGGTGAAACCGATTTTTTTATATATGAATTATGTTTTCGTATACCATATGAATGACTATTAAAGAGCATAAAACACGATTTGGAGCACACTTTAAGTGTGAGAATATTTTTTATATTATAACTTGTTTTCCACTATATATTTGTTATAAACCCATGAATACGTGGTTTATATATTCGATATTTCTATTAAAGAGCATAAAACACGATTTGGAGCACACTTTAAGTGTGAGAATATTTTTTATATTATAACTTGTTTTCCACTATATATTTGTTATAAACCCATGAATACGTGGTTTATATATTCGATATTCAAAAATCCAGATTATATTTTCCAAAACATATTTTTTATCCTTTTTTTTGTTGTTTTGTTTTTTATTGTGTTCGCGAAAATGTTGATTTTAATCACAAAATGTAGAAAAAAAATAATACAAAACTTATTATATGTAACGAAAATAATCACACAATGAATGTCCGAATGCCTTCAATTCTCGATATATAATACAATTGTTATTTCATTCAATAAAACTTATTATTAGGATATTCTGTGAAAGTGTTGTGACCGTAAAATACCAGAGAATATAATACACACAACAAAAAGTGACTTTTTCTATGAAATTTCCCATTAAATGCTTCAATAATAAACTTAAAGTACATTAACTTTTTATACGAAAAAAATGACTCCTTTTTCATACCTATTAATACAAATGCGCGACAATTATACCCGCGATATATAAGTAAATATTATAATACAGTATAATTGGTTACGAAATACAAGTCGTTATGAATAATAATAGTAATATATTTTTATTAGACGACTCCATGAATGGCTACCTATTCTTCTTAAGGCTCTTCAAGAAAATGTCATTAAATCCCAAAAAACACTTACAAACCGGAAATTTCTTATTATCTTATATATCATTCAATTATATTTCTATATACTGTATAAGTATTTTAAATATAAAGATCTTTTTTGTCATAATTTCTTTCTAATCTCGTTTTTTCGTTTGTAATCAAAGCTATTCTTAAAGTGATTTAAATAAATAGTTGTTATTTAAGAAGTTGTTATCCTTAATAAACAGTACACTTCTCTGTTATAGAGTATAATCATATATTCTGTACACTATTTGTACGGATATTTTCCTCCTATTGTTATAATGCATACGAATTGTAATCGACTTAAAGAACTGTTATATTAATTAAATCATTGTATTTAAATAAATAATAAATTCAAATCACATCACAGACAACATAACAGAAAGCGATTTACTTGTTTTGTCTGATCATTAATTTTACTGTACTTTTGGGTGACTAAGAGAAATGTGGTCTAAAAAAGTAAAAGTCTTTTCTCCATATAATTAGGATTCAGAGGAAACAAACGCTAATATTTGGTTCCTTTAAGTGTTAAGTAATACCAGTGGTTATAGTTATGGCAAAAAATAGGTTTTGCAATATAAATGACAATTGAGTGCATGATTGAAGTCTTTAATATTAATATAAATACAGTATATTTAATATGGTTTGACATAATTCTCACCTCAAATGTCAAAATATAACGTAAAAAGTGAAACACAATTATTATTTTTTCGTCGCCGACAGCACTGAACCACAGGAAAAGGTTATCACAAGAGAAATATACAAATAAATAAAATTCAAATTAAATATACATTTAAGTAAATCGTTAGTTTATTAAGAAAATAATTCTCAAAATATAGCTTAACTATAGCCTAACCAGTGTAAGTTTAAGTATCAAAATATCAGAAAGAATTTTGGAAATTATAATTTACCAGCAAATGACTGACTGTTGACCCTATATATCGTCAAGAAATGGATATTAAAAAGTGTTTTTCTTCTCATTTTCGACTAATTTCATTGCTAGATATTAGGGAGAGAGAGAGAGAGAGAGAGAGAGAGAGAGAGAGAGAGTTTAGATTATATACATTATAATGCATTATTTATGAAGTGATGCCTAACGCTGTGGTTTCATAGGGAGCGCCCATCACTTCGATATAAATTAGATATTTGTTGGGATTATTAAAAAGTTCTTTGAATACATATTTCTTGAGTGTACCTAAAAATGCCTGAATTTTGTTGTCTATTGAGAAAAAGTTGAAAATCTTCTCATAGTCTTTGTATATACAGTACTCTATATTATACTATTACTCTTTACTTGAATTCCTATCCTTTCTATACTATTGTCGACTGAAATATTGAAGTTTTCTCACCAAAAGTAACAAAAAATTGATTCAATTTTCTTTTCAGAATTAGGGAAAGTATAGTATATTTTTTGTGCTGAGAGTAAGAAAATTATTTCTTATTTAATATTAATTTAATTTTAGTCTCAGATTTAGGAGATATGAAAAGATATGTGAGAAATATGTTATGAAATGTTATGAAAGAGAGATATTGTTTGTTAAGCACTGCTTATGAAATACAGAACACGTCGTCGTTTGATAGGAATATTATATTTATATATATTTTCATTCATTCATTATATTTATCTCTAATTTCATATAATTCTCTCACTATTCCTTACATACGCTTAAGAGAGTGTATAATAATTTGAATATTTTATGTCAAACAATGGCTTTGTTTAACTATTTTTAGCATTTAATTACATTTTGTGTTGGAATAGGCATTCATATATTAAATCTGTGATATGAGATGAGAGATCTAATAATATGAACACAAAAGGTATTAATTTATATTTTCAAATATTAGTATTTAATATGTTTTCTCATATTATGTAAAGGATTTCCAAAACAATAGGGATATGAATACATTGTGTGTATCGTATTTGACATTTCATTAAACAGTTGTCAGACATCACAGCGATTAACATGTGGTTTAAAAATTAAAATATTTCTAATTTTAAACACATTTCCAATGAAAACAAGTTTAGTGTAAAAATCGTATTTAAATATAAATGTTTTGCACTCGACTTTTGACTAAACTATTGAATTGAACTACAAATGAATTTTTAAATATACAGCTAATGAATGGAAACAAATGAATACAATGAATGAATTTGATGTCAAGAATATTAAGCTTATTGTAAAACAAGTCAAACCATTAGTGCCTAACGTTTAGTGCTATGCTTTGGATATGAATTTTGTATATTATTTGTCAAAATGTTTGTAATAATAGATACCATTATTCGGTTGTTAAGGCGATGGTAACTGTGCTCTAATCAAAACATTTAATAATATTTAATATATTTAGTTAAGTCTATAATTATTTTCTCTCTTTTATGACCATTAAGTGCTTCCTTCATAGGAAAGGCATAACCGCTCCTACAGTACGAGTTGGTGTGGACTCTCGACTACTCCTCGCTTTTGACTGTAAGGTCGGCACAAACTTAATAGATGTGCCGCTATTCTCGAGCACATCCCTATCCCTATCCCTATCCCTCACTGCATCCCTGACCGCACACTCTATTATTTCATTGAATACCTATTCTAATGCACTAAATATATGCGACTTTTGATAAATTTAGATAAAATTGTTTTTTGTAATACATTATAAGCCCGTAGTATAGCATAGATGGGCAGAGAGAGAGAGAGAGAGACCAAGAGCCAAATGCACACAACTATCCAACAATTCACACAATGGTGAGAGAGAGAGAGAAAGAGAGAGAGAGAGAGAGAGAGAGACAGGTGGGAGAGGAGCTGAGCACGAGTCTCAGCATTGGGTCTGTGTTTATGGTATGGCATTAGTAGTAGTGGTGTAGTAGTGGTGGTAGTAGTTTGTGGAGTGAGAGGTAGTGTAGCCGGTCTTGAATAACCTTATAATACATTATATAAGTCATAGTAAGTCATACAACCACTCGAGAGTCGATTGAGTCGATTGCACGCTCTCTGAGATCCGTTTGCCTGTTGTGTTGGCTCTCGACTCCGGCTGTCAGTTGTAGTGTGCGTTCGGCGCCAGTAGTTGAGCCCAAACTACTGAACAAAACTTCATTGAAAAGTAGTAGAGATTTCGTAAAAACGTTGAGTTAAGGTAACAATCGCTCGCTTCCGCCCTTTGCCTCAAAAACTCCAGTTCTCTGTCAGTGCTGTTGAGGTTGCGGTTGAGTGAAGAGTTGCTCAGAGAAGCATTGATATCACAGACGACACTACCATTGCTGCCATTCCTACCACTGCATCCATTGT